TGGGAAGGACAATTTACCAAATCTAGAGTGTATTTGTTTTTGTAAACTGATCTCTTCCAGGCAGCACGCAGCAGAGCAGGGAGTCTACACCACTGGACACACTCTTGCAAATGCCTAGCTTGTTCTTAATGAAGGTCTCTAGCCACAGTCTGCTGAGTGAGGGTTGATAATTAGGAGGGACATTCAGCCACAGAATAGTTCAAAATGCAGGTGACCTCACAGCAAGACACACTGTCTTTTCTTCTTTTCATCATAAAAACCAGTAAGTCAGAGTTTTCACTCTAGATGGGGAGGAACTCTGCTTTATTTATTTACTTATCATCATTTTTCTTATGGGGTCTCCCCGTCACCCCCAGCTGGCCTGGAACTATGTAGACCTGCCTGCCTCTGCCTCTGGAGTGCTGGGGTAAAAGTGTGTGTCACAGGCCTGTTTTATTTAGATAACAAAAAGCAGGAGCCTGCCACCACCACATCCCAGGAATTACACAGAGCCAGAGGAGCAGAGAATGGAGCTCTGTGCTGTGCCCAGAAAATGAGCACTTGCAGTTCTTAGTAAAGAATCATTTTAGTGTTTCTTCATTCATATTTTTGCTTCCCTTCATCTTCTCTGTTTATAAAAAGGCTTTTGAACCTGGAATATGTACTTGATGTTCTTACCCTAAAACCATCCCAGGGATTAATAGCTTTGGAAGCCACAAGGATGAATAGCCCCTCATGTTGGCCTTGGACTCTACCTCCTGTTTCCCTGGCAACAGTAGAAGAATTGAACATCCATTTTGTCACTCACAAGAATTTAAATTACCATACAAAAATATGGAGAAATCTGGGCTTTGTCAAGGCCCATTAAGACAGAGCTACTTCTCTTGGTCAAAAAATTAGAATCTGAGTTCTACCTCTGGCTCTTGGTGGAGACAAGACATTCCAAACTACTCAAAACATTAGATACTTATTACCCTTTTAAGAACTAATTCAGGGCTGGAGAGATGGCTCATCATTAAGAGCACTGGCTGTTCTTGTAGAGGACCTGGGTTGGGTTCCCAGCACCCACATAGCCACTAACAACAATCTGGTACTCTCTTCTGACTTCTGTGGGCATTGCATGACATGGGTGCACTTACATACATACATACAGAAAATAAAAATGATAATTTTTTTTATTTTGCGAAAGAATTAATTCATGGCTAGAGAGATGGCTCAGTGGCTAAGAGCACTTGCTGCTCTTGTAAAAGACCTGAATCTCATTCCCAGCACCCACATGGCAGCTTACAAATCTTCTGTTAACTCCAGTTCCAGATGATCTGACATCTTTCTCTGACCCCCACAGGCATAAAACATACATGCAGGCAAACACTCATCCACATTAAAAAAAAAAAAAAAAAAGTTAATCCAGCTGGACCTGTCAATCACCTGGCCAGGAGTACACCCTGCGAGGAAAGCTGGTGCATCAGAAGTATGCTAAGGAGATGGGAGGAATAATTATCCTTTATGAGACTCAGCCTTCCAGAAACCCCTGCTCCATGCAGACCTTCATGTACTGCCATGGACCTTGAGAGCTTTTCCGAGTTTTGTAGAAAAGCATAACTTCTCCTTTTCTTCTCTTCTATCATTTTTCTTTCTGATGCTGGCCAAAGCCTGGGCATGCTTTTTCTGACACTCTGGGCTTTCTTGTTCTCCGGAGCCCTCCCCCTCCCCCTGACTTCTGCCATGTGGCTGCTTCGCCTCCATGAGACTGTTGGCCACCACGTGGAGACTTCTTTCTTGAACCCCATGCAGAAAACATTGCTTTCTCTTTCCCCTTTCCTGGCAGCTGACAAGATTCACAGCATGCCTGCTCTGTTATTGTTCTCTCAAAGTCTAAAAATTGGCCTCTAGTGTCCGAGTTTCCTTTCTGTTGTTTTGATAAAGCACTCTGACCAAAAGCAATTTAGGGGAGGAAAGGGTTTATTTCAGCCAACAGGTAATAGTCCATCATTGAGGGAAGTCAGGGCAGGAACACAAGGCAGGAACCTGGAGCAGAAGCCATGGAAAACCCCTGTTTGTTGGCTCATTCACAGGTTCATGCTTAGCTAGGTTTCTTATAGAACCCAAGCCCACCTGCCCAGGGATGGTACTGCCCACAGTGGGCTGGTCCCACTTATGTAAATTAGCAATCTAGACAATGTCCCATAGACCTGCCCAAAGGCCAAATTCATATGGACCATTCTTCATTTGAGGCTTTCCTATCAGACTCTAGGCTGTATCAAATTGACAATTAAAGGGGCTGGAGAGATGGCTCAGTACTTAAGAACACTTGCTGTTCTTCCAGAGGATCTGGGTTTGATTCCTAATACCCACATGGCAGCTAACAACTATCCATAACTCTAGTTCCAGGGGATCTAACACTCTCTTCTAGCCTCTGCAGGTATTGTACATACATGGTGCACATACGTGCAGGCAAAACACTTATAAAATAAAAATAATGAATAAAATGTTTTTTCAAGGCCAGCCTGGTCTACATAGTGAGTTCCAGGACAGCTAGGGCTACAGGGAGACCCTGCTTCAAAAAAGACAAAAAAAAAAAGAAAGAAAAGAAAAAAAAATGACAAAGCGCTGGGCGTGGTGGTGCACACCTTTAATCCCAGCACTTGGGAGGCAGAGGCAGGCGGATCTTTGTGAGTTCAAGGCCAGCCTGGTGTACATAGTAAGTTCCAGGACAGCTGGGGCTACAGGGAGACCCTGTCTCAAAAAGACCAAATGAAAAAAAATTGACAAAGCTAACTAGGACATTGAACATCCTTCTGAATTCATTTCTAAATTTATTAATAAGACTAAGATTCCCAAAGAGGGGACCCTACTTTCCCCAGGACTGGACTGTAGTATTTTGATAACTTTTCAGATTACAGAATAATACTCAATTTCACTGACAATTTTTCTTTTCCCTTGGGATGAGATAATTTATTATCATAATGTTGAAGCATTTAAAATGCAAATATCCACGTGATCTGTGAATTAAAGTAGGCTAGCCAGAAGGTTATAAATTAAAATATTCAACCTTGGGAGGTTGGAAGGAAGATCAGGAGTCAAGGTCACCCTGACTACATAAAGAGTTTGAGGACAGCATGGGGCACCTGAAACCCTATCTCAATAAAGCCAAAAGAGAAAAACATTCTGTAAGTTTACTGAAGCCTCTTAAGTAATATGCTGTAATTTGCTTATATATACAATGACATCTGCTACTGATTCTTAAACTTTACTGAAATTTGGAATCAATTAGATTTTATTTTTTATTTATTATTTTCATTTTATGTGTATGAGTGTATTGCCTGCATGTGTATAAGTGCACCCATGTCATACTACACCCAAGGAGGTCAGAGATAGTGATGGAGTCCCCTAGAACTAGAGTTACAGACATTTGTTAGCTATCATAAGTGCTGGGAATTGAACCCAGGTCCTCCGCCTGAGCAGCCAGTGCTCTTAACCACTGAGCCATCTCTCCAGCCCCCAGTTAGAGACCTTTTAAAAATACTAATGCTGGGACTGAAGAGATGGCTCAGCAGTTAAGAGGTGAGCTGTTTTGGTTTTTTGGGGGGGGTGGTTTTATGAACAAGACATTGTTTTTTCTTTATGAAACAAGGCTGATTACGACCTGGCAAAGCAGGTGTCCACATGTCTTCACCTTCAGGACGAAGCACTTCAGTCGGGGCCAATTATTCCTTTTTCACCTTCACGATTTTTATGCTACTCCCAGAAGACTTCTTTGAAGACTTCTTTATGCTACTCCCAGAAGACTTTGCTTTGAATTCTGTCTTCAGGACATCCCTCACGGCCTTTGCACAGGTCTGGGAGAACTGGATGTTGGTTTCCAGCACCAACATGGGGGCTAACAACTGTGTGTAACTCCAGTTCTAGGGGATCTGACACCCTCTTCTGATCTCCATGGGCACTGCACACACATGCTTCACTTATGTTATAGTAGCCCTTGGAGAAGGCTGTTTAGAATAGAATCTCTGGTCTGGATAAAGACCTAACTTTCCAGTTTCACTGGTCAATCTGGTTCCAGGCCCACCCCTAGGATGGTGGGGTCACCTTAAGTCATGCTAAAGAGATGGGTGGAATACACAGTGTGATAGTGAGATAGTGGACTTTTCCTGCCCCGAATCCCTGCCTCTTAGTGCAGTTCTTGTGGACTGAGGTTGTAGGTCGTAGGCTCTCTGTAAGTCTTGCTGGTTTTTCTGAAGAATTCCAAAAGCATAATATCTCTCCTTTTCCTCCTTATGCCTCCTTTCTAACTGTGTTTTCCTTAATGCTTTGGCTTCCCCAATGTTTTCGGTTTCTTTACCTTTTTCTCTATAACTCCCTTCTCTTACCCACCATCTAGTCGCTTAGTTTGCCAGGTGGCGTCTGTCTGACCTCCAGGGCTCTAAACCAGCATGACTTTACAGCTTTTTTCTTCTCCCCTCGGTTCTCCTGCTCAAGACAGTTTGCCTGCCCCGAGGATTTTTCCTTAAATTCCAATAAAATTGTCCTATTTCCCTTTCAGTCCATTCTTAAATTCTTTTATGAATGAGACCAAGGGCTCTCTAGGGGATGCTGTTTCTCCCCTGTATCACATATATGTGTAGAGAAAACACTCATACACATACAATAAAAATAAATTAATTAAAAGACTAATGCCTGGTTCTTATCCCCAGACATCCTCATACCCACCCCAATGTGGGATACAGTCTGAGCATCCAGATTTTGAAAGCTCACTCTATGATTCTAGTGTTCAGCAAAGTTAGTAGATACAGCCACACATGTCTCCTGTTAATCAGATTTACATCGCTTTAATAAAATGCCTGAAGCAGTCAACCTAAAAGTAAAAATGTGAGACGGTCAAGAAGGTGGATTTCTCCAGGATACTTCCCCATGGTAACACAACACACCTACCTATCACCATAAAGAGGACCAAGATGACATAGATGCCCCAGGTGTGCTTCTGGGCATATGGATGCAAGAGGAACATCATGAGGGGTCCGAAGATGAAGAAGAAGACATTGCTGAACTACAAGAGAAGCAAGGAGAGGGCAGGTCAGAAGGGGCAGAAGGGCAAGAAGTCCTGTTCATCTAAGCGTCACACATCCTCCAGTCCATCCTCCGGACTGTGAGGGTATTAGTGAACCCTGGATGCATTCCATATCAGCCATCAGCTCATCCTTACCCTTACCTTTTAAATTTTTTTTATGGGCCTGTTGTGGTGGTACGCACCAGTAACCCCAGCACTCCAAAGACAGAGGCAGGTAGATCACTGGGAGTTTGAGGCCAGCCTGGTTTACATAGCAAGTTCCAGGCCAAACGGCAACGCAGCCAGGTTTAGCCTGAAAAAAAAAAAAATTGGGGGGCTAGAGAGATGCTCAGCAGTTAAGAGCACTGCCAGTTCCTGCAGAGGACCCAGGTCCAAATCCCAGCACCCACATGGCAGCTAACAACTGTCCATAACTCCAGTTCCAGGGGATCCAACACTCTCTTCTGACCTCCACAGGTATTACACGGGCGCACTTACCTACAGGCAGACAATACATTCATAATAAATAAAAAATATTTTAAAAACAAAAAAAAGTAAAAATGTTTATTTTGGCTCATGGTTTTGTTTCGTTGTTTGAATTTATCTGTTTATTTTGAGATAGGACTTAGTCCAGGCTGGCCTCAAACTGTATAACCAAGGGTGATCTTGAATTTTCTGATTTTCCTGCCTCCACCTCCCCAGTGCTGGGATTATAGGCTTTCACTACCAAGCCTGACCTAGTCCATTACATCTTTTTCTTTTCTTTCATTACTTTTATGTGTGTATTGGATGTGGGGGTTAGGAGTTGGGGGGTTCATGTGAAGGCCAGAGGGGTCCCACTCTTTCCACTGCATTCCTTAAAGACAGGAGGATGTCTCACTGAACCTGAAGCTTGCCAGTTTTTTCTGGCTAGGCTGGTCAGATCTCGGCAATTATCTTGTCTCTATCCCCAGCACTGAGGTTATAGATGTGGGCAGCCATGAGTGCTGGGGACCTGAGCACAGCAGCAGCTACTGATCTTACCCACTGAGCTGCCCCAGCTCCAATTATGTCTTAATAAGACTAGGTGGTGGGAAGAAACTGGAGAGATGACTCAGCAGTTAAGAACACTGGCTACTCCTCCAGAGGAACCCAAGTTTGGTTCCCAGCACCCATATCAGGTGGTTACGTGTAACTGCAGCTTCAGGGGATCCAATGCCTTCTTCTGGCCTCCTTAGGCACCAACAGACATGTGGCATACATTCACACAGATACACATGAAGACATGTCTTCTGAGAGAAGCATTATCCACCCATGTAGGGTACCTGTGTTCAAACTTCTTTTTAAAAATTATACATTTTTAATAAATAGTGGGTTTCCACAAGGATTTTTCATATATCCTTAGTTTTAGTTAACCCACTCTCATCCTCCTGTATCTTTGTGTGTGTGTGTGTGTGTGTGTGTGTGTGTGTGTGTTTATATGTGTGTAGTAATGGGGATTAAATCCAGGGCCTTACGTATGCTAGGCAAACACCCTGCCCCCAAGCTATACTCCTAGTAAAGAAGTGATTTTTTTTACAATTTATTTTATTTTTAAAATTTATTTTTACTTTATGTGCATGAGTGTTTTGCCTGCAAGTATGTAAGTATTATACTACATGTATGCAATACTCAATGAGGTCAGAAGAGGATGTCAGATCCCCTGCAACTGTAGTTATGAACTATTGTTAGCTGCCATGTGGGTGCTGGGAACTAAAACCAGGGCCTCCTGGAAAAGCAGCTAGTACTCTTGTGTGTGTGTGTGTGTGTGTGTGTGTGTGTGTGTACATGTGAGTGCAGAATCCTGGAATCCAGAGGTGTCAGATCCCTGAAACTGGAGCTGCAGATGGTTGTAGCCACCTGATGTATGTGGTGGGAAACAAACATGGGTCCTCTGCAAGAATTGCAAGTGCTCTTAACCACTGAGCCATCTCTCCAGCCCTGAAGAAGTAATTGTTATTCTTCCAGTTTTTCGGGGATTTTTTTTTTAGTATTAGCTTCTTAAAAGAGAACATAGATTTCATTTTGTTTGTTTTGATGATTCTGGGAGTCAAACCCAGGGCCTGTTAAGCAATCTCTACCACTGAGCCACATCTCCATCCCCAAGAAGACAAATTTGATTACCAGCCTAAAGGGGCTTAGAATCTCTGTACAAATCAGAAGACTTGGGAGAGGTTTTCATAGAAAACAGTGATGAGCTTTTATCTTTGAATACCGAAAGTCACAAAAGGCTAAAACATTATTTTCAATATTTTATTTTTATTTTATGTGTACGAATGTTTTGCCTCCATGTATGTATGTGCACCACATGCATGTCTGGTGCACACTGAGGTCAAAAGAGGGTTGTCAGATCCCCTGGAACTGAAATTACAGGTGGTTGTGAGCCTCTATGTGAGTGCTGGGAACCAGATCCTCTGCAAGAGTTGCCAGTGCTCTTAACCACTAAGCCATCTCCCCAGCCCCTATTTTTTTATTTTTAAAAACTCTTTATTCATTTAAGACAGGGTCTCATATAGCCTAGGCCAGCATTAAGGTCAATATGTAGTGGACACTAATCTTGAATTTCTGACCCTCCTGCCTCCACCTCCCAAGTACTGGGATTACAGATGTGCACCACCATGCCCAGCATCTCAAGTAGCTTTTATAGACCATTGTATTTTATACATCACTGAGGGAGTTGAGTCATAAGACTTCATTCATCTAAAATTTTGGCCAGCAAAACTATGGTGAAAACTAATTAGTAAAAACCAAAAACGCTTGTTTCTTAAATGGTTGTTGTTGGCAGTATAAACCATAAAGAGAGAAAAATGATACCAGGAAGGCAAGGGAAATGTACCTGAAGTAATTTTTGCCTACCAGATTTACCATAATAACTATTTTCATTATCTGAAAATAAAAATACTTTGCTGAATTTTCTTGGATTATCTAGTAAAAAGACATTGTAGAGATTGTTCCCTTTTCAGTCAACCTTGCTGCCTGCCATGTGTCAGCCTCCTTTTATTGTTGTTTTGTTTTGTTTTGTTTTGTTTGTTTGTTTGTTTGTTTTTTCAGACAGGGTTTCCCTGTAGCCCCAGCTGGCCTGGAATTTGCTATCTCAGCTAGTCTGGATCTCACAGAGATCTGCCTGTCTCTGCCTCCCAATTGCTGGGAATAAAGGTATGTGCCTCCACACCCAGCTGGCCTCCATTTTTGTTAAGGGTAGTACACTGGGTTTTAAGTCTCTTTGGGATTAACGGACTAGAAAATTGTTTTGTTGTTGTTGTTGTTTTTGTTTTTGTTTGAGACAGGGTCTCCCTGTAGTTCCAGCTAGCCTGGAACTCCCTATGTAGAAAAGGGTAACCTTAGTCTCACAGAGATCCACCTGCCTCTGCCTCCTGAGTGCTGGGATTAAAGGTATTGACCACCACAGCCACCTGGAAAATGTTCTAATGCCCCCTATGGTATTAATAAATATTTATTTATATCTCTCTAGATGGAGATGGATTTTCTAATTTGCACAATTTCAGCAAATTTCTGCATGGAGGCTGTCCTTATATGTAAATACATGATTTAAAGTAGGGACACATCATAATCGGACTAGGGTGAGGCACATACCTATGCTGACTCTGGCCATAACCAGGTCCTGCTCCCAGAGCCTCCCACCTCCCAGAGGGCATGGGCCTGGATTCTGGGCATAAGACCAAGAGTCTCCCTGGACTAGCAGCTAGCAGTTGGCACCCAAGGTTGGGCAGGCAGCAATTACACAATCCACACTACGAACTATCTGGTCAGAGGTGAAATTTTTACCATAATTCAGAGAGGGCAATGTAGCAAACCTTCCATATGCTTTAAAACATTTTGTAGTTAAAATGCTCTCTATTATGAACTATTTGCTATTTGACACAGACATTAGAGACTCTATGGTTAGCCCTCAAAAATATTTTTTTTTAATTTTGATATTTTACCAACTCATGTAATCTCAAAACTGAGAACTCTTAGGCTGAATGACCTTGAGCCACATTGCAATTATAGGGTAACATTTGCTCTTCAGTGAAAAATTATGCATTGTCTAAAGAAGGCTCAGTACACTTTTCTACAAAAGGCTGCATAGCAGGGCTGAGGAGATGGCCCAGTTGGTGAAGTGCTTCTGAGGAACTGAGATTGATCCTCAGCACCAGTGTGAAAAGCCAGGTCCAGCAGCACACACCTACAGTCCCAGCATTGGGGAAGCAGAGACAGGAGGATGTTGGCCAGTGAACTCCATGTTCAGTGAGAGACCCTGTCCAAAATATAAGGTAAGGAGTGATTGAGGAAGATACCAAGCGTCAACCTTCTGGCCTACACACACACACACACACACACACACACACACACACACACACACAACTAGACAGCAAATATTTGCGACTTTGCAGAGGGCAACCATTTATCTCTTTGTAGTGTGAAAATGGCCAGTGAAGCTATCTGAAGGACTGAGGGTGGCTTTGTTCCAATAAAATTTTATTTATAAAACCAGGCAGCATAGCTGGATTTGGCCCACACAGTAGTTTACTAATTCTAGTTATAAATTAGATTTTATCGCACTAATGCTTTAGTTCAGTGGTAGAGAGCTTGCTTAGCATAGGTAAGACATATGTAGACAACTAATGGCAGCACAATAGGATTCTCATCAGAAACATGCTCATGACCCCTTGCCTCCGTGTTAGTCTGCTTGGGCTTTCATAACAAAGTACCACAGACGGAGTTGCTTAAACAACAAAAATTCAGAGCCCAGCATGGTGGTGTATGCCTATGTCCTAGTTTCATTCTGGTCCTGCCATGAAACACTCAGTCCAAAAGCAACTTAGGGTTGTTTATTTCCCCTTATACTTCCCAGTCACAATCCATCATTGAGGGAAGTCAAGGCAGGAGGAACCTGGAGCAGAAACCATGGAGGAACCATGCTTGGTGGCTCGCTCTGTGGCTCATACTCAGCCAGCTTCCTTATACAGCTCAGGACCACCAGCCCAGGAAGTGGTACTACTCCCAGTGAGCTGGACCTTCCTACATCAGTTATCAATCAAGATAATCATGGGCACACCCACAATTGAGGCCAGCCTGAGCTTCATGAGACCCTGTCTCAAAACAAAACAAGGAGCTAGAAAGATGGCTCAGTGGTTAAGAGCACTTACTGCTCTTTCAGAGGACAGAGTTGGGACCCCAGCACCTACATCAGGCAGCTCATAGATGCCTGTAATCCTAACTCAAAGAGATCTCAACCCCACTTCTGGCTTTTGCGGACCCCTGTGCATATACATATATAGAGGTACACAGACACAGACACACACACAGACACACACAGACACACACACACACACACACACAAAATAACTTCCCCCCAGAAATTGAGAAGGTAGGGGTGTGGCTCAGTGGAGGAACACCAGCCTATGCCAGGTGTTAGGGTTAATCCCCAGGTTTGGAGGCTTGATATCTGAGATCAGCTGGATTCTTGTGAGCCAGACACTTTGGCCTGTAGATGGCTGTCCTCTTCCTGTGTCTTTTTGTGACCTTCCAGCTGTATGCAGCCTAATCCCCTCCTTTTATGTTGGGTTAGAGCTCACTGTACTGACCTCATTTTAATCTTTAAGATCCTATCTCCAAATATAACATGTTCTCAGGTACTGGGAATACAAGTGCAATATATGAATTTTGGGGAACACAATTCAGCTTCAAATACCTTGTGATGGCTAATCTTGGTTGTCAGCTTGACAAACCTTTAAAGAGGGAACCTCAATTGAAGAATTTCGTCTATCAGATTGGCCTATGGCCTGCCTGTCTGTGGGGCATTGTCTTGGTTGCTAATTAACATAAGAGGGTCAGGCCGTGGTGGATGGTGTCATCTCTAGGCAGGTGGGCCTGGGCTGTATAAGAAAGCTAGCTGAATGTGAGCCTAGGAGCAGCAGTGAGAGTATTCCTCCATGGTTTCTGCTTCAGGTCCTCCTTGAGTTCCTGTCCTGACTTCCTTGATGACAGACTGTAGTCTGTAATCCAAAATAAACCCTTTCCTCCCCAAGTTGCTTTTAGTCATGTGTCTATCACAGCAACAGAATGAGGCTGGAACACACACCCTCTAAGCCAGTTTTATGTCAATTTGCTCATCCATTTCAACATAGCTTTACAGAAATTGATGCTTTTTCTTTCACTTTCTTGCCAGCATCCTCGTTATTGAATTAAATCAAGTCTTCAGTATTTGTTCACCATTATTTTTGGATGACAGTCAGGATTTTGTCTTTTTGAAGGAATCTATTCACACAACCTAAAACTTCCCATGGAAACCAAGGAAACTAAGGCTTATTTTTTTTGAAATTCTAGTTCCATAAGCAAAAGTTCTTAGCACAAACTCTCTCTCCTTTTGTTCTCATATGAAAAATGAAAGAAATGGCAGAAAGAAGACCCCTTAGACGAGGGCTGGAGGCTGGGGAGTTGGCGACCCAGGGGACAGCCAGCATTTCCCAGGGGTCATTGGGAAAGGTGCATGGGGCCGGCTGGCTGTTGTATATTTTTAAACCAGCCTGCCCCAGCGTGGCTCTCCCATCTGCGTTGCCAGCTGTCTAGTCTGTTCCTGCAAGTAGCAGGAAAAGCTGCTGGGGAGGAGGGAAACAAGGAGAGAGCCAGGAGCCAAAGAGCAAGGTAGTTCCAGCCGTTCATCTGCCAGGAGAGTAGAGTGTGCTGAGCCCCAGGGCCACAGTGCAAGCACATATTCCTGGCACACAGAAGCAGGTGTGGTTCTTGAGTCTCTGAACCAACTACTCACCTCTGAAGGTGAGTTAAATCTGAAGGACAGTTAAATCTGAATTGCAGAAAAACAATGAATGAGATTTTTCTGGTGTAGGTCTGAAATGTTGCATGGGACGTGGGGTACAAAATTACCACAACATAGTCCACAACATAGCTCATCAAGTAAGACGAGACCATGGCCAGGATCAGTTAAAATGTAGGGACGCTTACTCTAAGTTCTCCCTGTGGGTTGCTGAAATCTGAGTCTGACATGAACCTGTCAGATCTGTCCTTGGGTCCAGCTTCTGGGTACTTTTGCTGCAAGTTCACATGTATGCTTTTTTCCTAAAGATAGTTGGTCAGTGCTGCTGGCCTCTGCTACCACCAGTGGTGGAGGTAGAGCACCCACGCTGCCCATGCTGCCCACGCTGTGTGCTAAACATGGTACCTTGGCAGGTCTACACTTCTACCTTTAGTGTTCACAGCCATCCTTGTTTCACAGAAGAAGAGTAGAACATTCCAGAGGTTCACTACCTGCCCAAAGACTCAGAGAATGCTGAGATAACCCAGGTCTATCTGATAGCATTTGGCAGGAAGTGCTCTCTGTGCACTTCCTCTGTGCATCTTCCTTAAAATTTCTCCCATGGAGCTAGGAATGGAGCTCAGTTGGTAGAGTGCTTGCTTGCCATGGACAAGGCACTGGGTCCAACACCCAGCACCACCTAAACTGGTCAAGGTGGCACACACCTATAAACAAGCAAACAACAAACAAATCACCTCTTCTGTGGGACTCAGAACAGACTTAGCGGGCTAAGCGCAAATAAGAAATGCTTGTTGTGAGACACAGTCTCATGTACTCTTGTACAGCGGAGGATGATCTTGAACTTCTTTTTGTTGTTTTGGTGTTGCTGTTATTGTTGCTTTGAAACAAGTTTTCATGTATCCAAGGCTGGCCTTAAACTCGTTATGTAGCTGAGTAGCTGAGAATGACCTTGAATTTTTATTTTTTTAATTTTATGTGTGTGTGTGTGTGCTTTGCCTTGCCTGCATGTGTGTACATGCACCATGTGCATGCCTGGTGGCCACATAGGCCAAAAGAGGGCATCAGATCCCCTGGAACTGAAGTTAGAGACAGTTGTTAGCCACCATGTGGGTGCTGGGAACAGAGCTTGGGTCCTCTGCGAGAGAAGCCAGTGTTCTTAACTGCTGAGCCATCTCTAAATCTCTGGCCTTGAGCTTCTAATCTATGGTGCTGGCAAGCACTGTACCAACTGAGCTACAACTTCAGTCCTGATCTTGAATTTCTGATCCTCCTGCCACCACCTCCCAAGTGCTGTTGTGTCACGATGTCTGGTTTGTGTGGTGCTAGTGATTGAACCTAGGACTTTGGGCATGGTACGAAGGCAGTCTACCCACTGAGCTACATTCTTGGCCCTGCTTTTTTTATTTTTATTTTTATTTTTTGAGATAGTAGTTCTCTTATCACCATAGAGTCCCAGGGATCAAACTCAGGTGGTCAGCCTTGGTGGCCGGTGCCTTTACCTGCTGAGCCATCTCACTGGTCCCCTCCTGTAATTTTAATGTAACGCTTGTTACCTTTTAGTTGATGCCAAATTCAGTTTCCCCTCTTCCTTGTCTTTCAAAGAATTTCTCTCACTTTCTGCTTTAGAATCTGTGAGATTAGGACTTGTAAACCCTCAGTACATCATCCCAAAAGTCAAAAGTTACAGCCAGGCCAAAAGACACATCCAGATCCAGGCTGGCCCGTGTTGTTCTAACAGATGCCAGTGGAATGAGGGGGTGAAGCCTGATGCTGCACATGTCATGACCCGTAACATGGCAGACAATGGTGGAAAGCAGCTCAGCCATGCCCTTGACTGCACCTCACTTCTAGGGGGCGGTGTGCCCTCCAGGCTTGGCCCTCCCTGCTCACATTCTAGTGCCAGGCCCATAAAAGCACAGCAGACTCGATGCTCAGCGTTGTCCCAATGTGTGAGTTCCCAGCATTTGTGCATGTCTTCATCAGCAGCGTTCAGGGTCCTTGTTTGACCAAGGCTCACTCCACGTGGTCCATTCTTGGCCATCTTGTTATTCACTGTGCTCACGAACTGTGTGTAAGGCCAAAAAAAGGAAAGAGGGATAGATAAACCCATTTCATTTGGGAGCAGGAACTTCAAAAGGTCCAAGCCATTAACTGAAATCTGGGTTCCCTGAGGATTTAAAGAACAGACTCTGCTCACCTTCTCCCACCTGCCCACAGGGCCCCCCCTTTTTTTTTGCATAGTCATAGACTAATCTGCTTAGGTAATTAACCACAGTTGCTGCACTAAGTTGATGGTTTCTTCTATGCAACCCTAGAGACCCGAAGAAGGAACAGCTAGCCTTTACTAGGCCGGTGTGTTGGGGGGTGGTCACCTTTTACATCTCCTAGTTGAAGGCAGAAGAACCCGGGAAAGAGTGGAAAGTAAAATGCACTTCCAAATCCAAGAGCTGGGCGTGGTGGCACATCCCCTTAATCCCAGCACTGAGGGGTGGACGGGGGGCAAGGGCAGGCAGATCTCTGTGAGATAGAGGACATCCTGGTCTACATACCAAGTTTTGGGCCAGTTGGGGCCACAGGGAGACCCTGTTTCAAAAACAAAAAACAAGAACCAAGCAAGCAAAAAACCAAATCCAAGTCTGGCATTGTGGTACACACTGGTAACATCAGTACTTTGGGAGGTAAAAGCAGAAAGATCTGGTGTTCGAGGTCATCTTCAGCTACACAGAGA